ATCAGAAGTGTAGACAACTATAATAAACTTCAATTTGGAAACATAAAAGGAAAAATATGATCTTGGATGATATTGGAAAAATAATTTAAAGCAAGATATTCTGTGTGGGGGGGGAGAGATCTGGGTAAGGTCCAAAGCTTCTGAGTTTAAGAAAGTTTATGAGTTAATGAAGAGAGGGGTGGGAACAGCTTGTCTTCCAGCAGAAGCCCAAGAGCAAAGCATCTCGCCTTTGCTTCTTGCACCATCATGTTTTTTTTGGTTGAGGCCCTTGAAAATTTTCTGTGTTTCAAGTGCTCTGTCATGGAATGAGGAGTTCCTGGCAAGCACACATGCTCATAAGATGTTCAGCTGCTGTGGTGGCACCCCCTAAACCACATATGATTTGGGGGACTGGTCCCATTTCCGGGGATGCACTTGAGGAAGATCAAACTGAAAGGGATGTTAGAAATGGAGAAGGAGACTGAAGTGATAGCCTAGTGCATCTGCATGGTACCTCATAAACTTGACTCACTTCTGATCATGTTTGCATCTGCACAGCCATAAAAGTAGTGTTTTGAGGCAAGAAGAGGGATGAGGCAAAGAATTCAGCGTCCCCAAAATCCCTGGGGAGCTGCTTGTGTGGGTAGGGCCTTCTGACATGCTTTAATTAGCTCTGCCACAGTGGGATTCAGAGCTGCTTTGGTCATGTCTGTGATGATCATGTGCTGTGATGCATATCTGCCTTCAGATACAGCTCTTCTCAAAATGTGACTTAGGAACTTAATCCCAGTGACTTGCAATACGAGTTGGCTGATGGGCAGCTCCTAGAGTGAGACTTAATGTCCACATTCACTGAAGATGGTTTATATCTCTTGCAGAAATTAGGTGCCAAATTTGCAGTGGACTGTGGTCACTGTTGTGTTGAGAGAAGAGATAGAGTATCTTTAGAAATCTGAACTGAAATGTTGAATGTGGGATAGTCCTTCTCAAAACCCTCTTAGCTAAAAGATCTAAATTCTTAGCTCAAATGATCTAAATTCTGATAAATGCAAGGAAATAGCATTGCAGGAGAGATGAGCTGATAATTCTACAAGATGTTTCTTTGGTTACATATAAAAAGAACTTCCTTTCCAAAGTCTGGTTGTCTATCTGATTTCATGTCTTCTTCCCACAACTAAGTTGGGGATGAGAGCAGGAAAGCAGTTTTTCAAAATGTAAGTACAACTTTTCAAGCAAAACTAGCATCCTCAAGGTAAAAATAGTGCCCTAGAGTGGTAAGCTGGAAGCAAACATTCTCTTCATAAATCTTGGTGGATTATTCTGACTGCAGTTTCCTCTTGAGAGCTGCAGATCCCAGCAAACCTTTCATATGAACCAAGCCACAGAAAGTGACTGTTACCATCATGTCACGAGGAAGGATGCTCAGAATCCCCAGAGCACTGGAGTTTCTCATCTGAAACTGGTACCTGGGCCTGGCCCAGTCCCTGTGCATCTCTGTCCCCTCCCAGCAGGGAGAATTCAGGGGCCAAGCCAGGAGGAGAGGCTGCTGCAGGGCTGTGGAGGAGGAGATGCTGCTGCCTTGTGGGAGGCCCCGGGCTCGGGAGGCAGCTCCTGGGTCTGGGGCCCCTCCGAGGGGATGCTTGCTGTGCTTGGAGGAAAGTGCAGCTTTCACTGCCTCCTTCCCCGATTCTCCTCCTTCTTTCCTTCACTTTTTCCCCCTTCCCTGTCTGCTTCTCGAGCTGCTGCCCTGGGGACCCAGCCTCGGTGAGGGAGGAGGCCGCCTTCCCCTGCAGGATGGAGAGGGGTGACAGTGGCATGAGCACACCTATCCTTAGAGGCAAAGCCCAGTTTTCTGTTTTGGGCTCGTGGGGCACTGCTGGGAGTGGGGAGGTGTGGGGAAAGAAGAGTGCCACGTTTGAGTTCCCCTGCCCTAAGGGAGGTTTTAAAAATGGGTAACAAGGAGGGCTTTTCCTAAGCTGTCCTTGGAGCAGTCCTTCCTTGTGCATGCACTCACCCACAGAGGTTTTTCTCACAGCCATCCTCGCTGGCCAGAAATTGTCCACGGGAGTTCAAAGAGACACAGCTAACCATGCACCCACCTCTCAGACCCCAAAAGTGAAGGACAGCTGCCCACCCTGCTGTCACCCCCGTGGGCACATCCCCTCTGCTTCCCTGCGCTCCTGTCACCAAACCGGATCCAAACTCCTCAGAGTTGAGCCACTTGCACCCAAAGAAACGCCACAAAATGAAGGAGCAAAAGCAATTGGAAGCTCTTTTGCAGCTCCCCACACTCCCGCATTTATTTTTTTTTTTTCCTTTCTTGCCGAGAGAATTGTTTGCGAGTGGAAGAGAGGGATGTTTAAATAGCTCCGCAGATCCATTTAGTAAAGTCAACATGCAATTATGCAAAAGGCTGCGATAATACACCCCCTGATGCAGATAGCAGCGGTCGGAGCTGTCCTGGGGGAACCGCGGGCAGGCGGAATTCTCGGGAAGGGGATTTCAGGGATCAGGGACCCAGGCTGGGGATCCCGGCAACGCCCCGAGCCCCATCCCGCACCGCGCTCTTTGCTTCTTGTTGTCCTTTTTTTTTTTTTTTTTTTTTTTCTAATTTATAAAGAGTAATTGATTTTTATCCGATTTTTTCCTCGATGGTATCGTTTGCGGGAAGTCCCCTCGGAGAGTTCCGAGAGCCCCGGGGTTCCCTGCCATGGGCTCCGCTGGGTGCCCATCCCCTGCCATCGGTAAAGCGCTGAACGGGCTCATTAACCGAGCTGCAGACGGATTTAGGTGATAGGAATGGAGCAAGAGTGAAAATTAGTTTGGAGAGAAACAAATCGAAAAGCTCCGACAAAACTCCGCTTTGCTTTAGTTCAGCCTGTCAGGCACAAATATTCAATTCTACGTCGCTTCGAATGGAGGTTTTATTTTGTTCCTCGCTAATTTGCTTCTTGTACAATGTTGCAAGTTTTTTTCAGCCTCGTTTGAAAGGGTGAAATACTTCGTTCAACTTTTTAGAAGATGTCCTTCGACTTCTTACACCAGGGACACGCAATCTTTTAATTTCTGCTTTATGTACACTGAGGAAAGTATCCGTAATACATTCTTGATTAAATTAAATAAAACCAAAAAGATCAGGCAGATTGTTGTTTCCTTCAAAGACAGCAATTTACCCGCAGAGATGAACTGGAAGCTGAATTTAGCCCAGAAGAAGTGGGAAAACTCCAGAATAAAAGGAAAAGTATCGAATATTTTAGGCTAATGTCACCCTCTGTTGAACTCCGGCAAGTGGCTCTGAAGGCGAAGAGCACTCGGAGCTGGTGTGCCACAAGTGGCAGGGGGATTTGCTTATACCTTCATTTAACCTATTAAAAGAAATCCCCACTATTGTTCGGCTACGTGGGTGTCTCCGTCTTTGCAGGCTACGTGCGGGCATATGTGTGGACTGAGAATAGGCGCTTAGAGATCTTTGCTTTAAAACATTCCTTGGAGTTCACATAGACCACTAGATTGTTATCTGCGTGTCCAGTCGGCTGCTGACACCGTCTGTAAATACGACAGAAACTTTGCATTTCACAGCCCTTCTGCGCCTCTCGCCTCGTAAAAGTCAAGTTGGAAGTTTGGGGTTTTTTAACAAAAAAAAAAAAAAAAAGGATAAAAAAAAGAAAAAAGTTTTTCTTCCCTCTTTTTTTAATGTCTTCTTGCGCTTTGTATTTTTGAGGAGAGCATTCCGGAGAGGGAGAGGGGAGAGGGGAGAGGGGAATTACCCAGCTAAGCTGCATCTGCCTAGGAGCACCCACGGCTCGGGCACGGGCAAAGGTTCGGGAATTTAGAACAGTAACGTCATTGCTTCCTCTAAACCGAGACTAACGCTGGGTTAGTCTCCCCTCCCGCTGCCCCACCAAGGACTGGCATCAAAGTGATTGCCTTCGCTGCCCTCCGAGAGCATCATCGGGGTGGCAGCTGCCCGAATTGGGATCTCCCTCTGCCCGCAGCCGGGGAAAAGTTTTTAAACTATTCGCAAATATTTTACTTTTTCTTTTCTTTTCTTTTTTTTTTTTATTTAATAAAATTCCTCTTTCTTACACATCTAGCTAATGTCCGACTGCCTCTCACGGGTAAACTCAAACCATCTTTACCATGTCATTGCTCCGCGGTCTGCAGTCAGTAAAATCCTAAACACTTAAGAGTGGAGTTGTTATGCAATTATACAAGTCTAAGGAAAAAATAAGTGTCTCTACGACTTTTCTGTCTCGGGTCGCTATTCTTCTGCTGAGGACTTGGGCGTCTCCGATCCTTCCAAATTGCCGAAAACTGGACTTTTCCCTCGCAGAAAATTTGGAAGCGTTTTTTGGCTGTAGTTTTCCCGTCTCCCAGTAGACGGCACAACAGCTCAATCCTTGGGATGCAGAGCAGTCCAGCGGCTTTTCTCTTTTTTTTTTTCTTTTTTTCCTTTTTTTTTTTTTTAATTAAGAAGCCACAGTTTTATCCAGCAATTTATTTTATTGTTATTATTATTTAATTCAACGAGAAGCATAGGAATATCGACAGGAAAGAAAGAGGGTTTGGCACAGGCAGGGAATACAGGAGTGCCGAGGGGAGAACGGGATAAAGACAGGGATCGTCTCCAACCCCGGCACGGAGCAGCGTTTCCAAATTAACCCAAATGAACTTGTAGAACCCAAATCGTGTCATGAAAAAACCCTTCAGCAACCCCAACGCGATGCTGTTACCGGCTCAGGGGTTACTATACGGATTTTAGGGTGAAACGCTGCGTTTGTAATGTGAAATAGGACGGGCAAGGCTCAGGTCGGCTCCTGAGCTACCCCGAGGTGCCACCGCGGGGAAAACCTGGCAGCCGTCGCAATTTTTGTCCCTGAAAGACTCCTTTTGTGTGCGGGTGCCTTCACTGCTGTCACCGTTGAAAATCCCGCCCAGTAACTCATTTCCCGGTAAATTTTATTTAAGAGGAAAAAAAAAAAAAAAAAAAAAAAAAAGAAAAAGATAGCGCTGTTGGAAACTTTGAAGACAACCGTAAATTTTATTAGGAAATATTTCCTGAAGCCCTGCATTGAATGAATCAAGTTGTGCGAGCGGCAGGCCCGGCCGCGGGGGAGCGGCAGCTCCCGGTACCGGCCCCCGGTGCTCCCGGGGCGGCCGCGGCTCCGGGGCCGGAGCTGTGCCGGCGGTGGGCGCAGGGCAGCCCCTGGCTGACCCCGGCCTGACTTTCCGGACGGTCCCGCTTCTCTTTTCTTTTCAGCATCGGCAGCCGGTAAATAAACCCCCTCCCCAAACGCTGCGCGCTTAAACCCCCTCGTTCCTAAACTCTTATCAGCACCCGCAGCCACCCCCCAGCCCGCTGTGACCTTTCATAGACTCTAAACAAGTGCGGGTTTCCCCCTCACCCCCCGTCCCTCTTTCAGCCCTTCCATCAGGCTCGGACTTTTTCGGGTATCTCCGCACGTATAGCCCCCCTCCTTTCCTTATCTGAAGCATTCCTGGATTATCTCCCGGCCGCCTTTCCAATGCTTTCTTCCGCGGTTTCTTGTTTGTTTCGCTCTTCTGGTCGTTCCTATTTCGGTTTTCAAATTTCAGTATTAATGGTGAAAGAGAGCACACTTGGATGCTAATTCTCCCCCGTCCCCCCCCCCCCAAAAAATAAATCCCTGCTAGGAAGGCGGCAGGGAAGCCAGCTAGAAACCATTTGATTGTTCCTAGGTATGACTAATTCTTTCCTTAAGCTGGGAAATTCAGCCTGATTAAAAGCCTCATTTATTATCCGATAAGCAAATGGACCCAGATTCCACCTTGTGGAGGAGGCTTTTTCGCTCCCCAGACGCCTTTTTTTGGGTTTTTTTTTGCCTCAGCTCGGTGGATCCCTTCTCCAAAGGCCCAGCGGCGGTGCGGGGGAGCACCCACCAGACCCCCTCGTTCTTTCCTTATTGTTTTCCCCCTATCCGCAATTCCCCCCGCCCCTCACCCTTTCCACCAGGCGATGGACGAGCTTAAATAGATTCCCGCAAACCAGCAAGTTTTTGGAGGAGAGGAGAGAAAAAAAAAAAAAATAAAACAAAACCAGCAAAAGAAAAAGACCCAAACAGAGTTTCTTTCCTAAAAAGGCGGCTGGGTGAGATGCTGCGCGGGTCCCGCTGCAGCGCAGCGCATCCGCTGCGGCAGGACTTTACCGGGATAGCGCGGAGTTGGCCGTTTACTTTTTCCCCGTTTAATAGATGATTAATTGCTGTCCGGATTAACCCTCTTTTTTTTCCTCCCCCCAGTTTTCTTTTTCTCTCTTTTTTTTTTTTTTTTTTTTTTTTTCCTGGCCGGCCTCTCACAGGCGGAGAGCTGAGCAGTTGCTCACAGCGAGCCCTAAGAGTAATAACTGTTTGCTAATTGTAAAATCCTTATCCAGGATGAGGTTTGGGCAAACAATTTGTAGGGCTGTAATTACATTGTAAAAGTGTTTCGGGCTGAGTTGCGCTGAATTAAGCTCATAAGGGCCTAGTGGAGACGCTGAAAAAGGGGTTTTTTGGGGTTTTTTTTGGTGGGCTTTTTTTTTTTTTTTCATGGTGGGAGTAGTGGGGAGGAAAAGAGGATGGGAAGAGGAGGAAAAGCATCCCCGGGAGCTGGGTGACAGCCACCCCCTGGAAGAAGGGAGCGCTGCGGTGGGGAATCGTTACCGAGCGCCTTTCCCGGGGGAAATCCATGGAAATGAGCCCCACGCGTGGGGCTGGGCTGGGTGTGAGGGGTCAGCGCCTGAGAACGGCTCTTACCTGAGAGCTCTGGGTTTCTCCCGCCGGGATAAAAAGCCGGTCCTAGCGGAAAAGGGACGGGAAAGGAGCGGGAGGGGGGATCGAAAGGGATTTCCCCGAAGTTTGAGACGTGGCGGCGGGGGTCCGGCAGCAGCGGAGCAGCGTCCCGTGTGCCCCGGGGGGTTTAGCAGAGAGACCCCCCGTTACTCCCCGGTTCTGCCCAGCAGCTCAGCCGGGACCGCTGTGCCGGGGGTCTCCGCCTCGGGGACCGCTGTACCGGGGCTCTCCGCCTCGGGGACCGCTGTACCGGGGCTCTCCGCCTCCCTTCCCGGGAGGAAGATGCGATAGTGTCGGGGCAGCCGAACCCGCTCGGGTAGCAGGTAGGGGCACGGCGAGTTCTCCGCTGCCGGCCCGGCGAGTACCGGCGGGGCTGCGGGGAGGGACGGCTATGCTTTTGAACGCAACGGAGCGGACCCCCGGCTCGGCGGATGGAGGCACCGGCGGGGGGGATCGCCCCGCGCGGGACGGCGGGACAGGGACGGGAATAAGGCCGGGGATGGGGATAAGGATGGGGATAAGGATAAGGATGGGGATAAGGCCGGGGATGGCCGGGCCGGGCCCGGGGCGCCCCCCGCCCGGCGCGCCGGTCCGAGCCCCGCTTCCCGCCCGGACCAATGGGGGCGCGGCGCGGGGCGGCGCGGCGCTGATTGGTCGGCGGCGGCGCGGCGGCGGCGGCCGGGGGCCGGGTGAGCTCACTCGGCCGGCGGCCGCGGGGGGAGCCGCCGGGGCGGGGGGTGCGTGGGGGGGTGCGCCCGGCGAGGCGGGCGGCGGAGCGAGGGCCGGGCGGCGGCGCGACCCCGGGGCGCTGCGCGGGCGCTGCGCGGGGCGGCGGCGCCGCCAGACAAAGGCGGCGGGAGCGCCCCCGCGGCCGCCGTGAGGGGGGGTGTGATGCGGGAGGGGGCGCGGAGGGCAGGGCCGGGAGGGGGCGGTGTGTCCGAGGCGCGGCGCTGCGCGGGCGCGGGGCGGGCGGCGCGCCCCCCTGCGCCGGTGGCGGAGTTGCTGCCGCCCAGCGCATTGTGTAAGACGCGACCTGTTATGGCCACCACTACTTCCGGGTTCCCGCAGTCTGCTCCAGCCCGGCGCTGCGCTGCGCTCGGGCGGAGCGGCGGCGGCGGCGGCGGCGGACGGACGGACGGACGGACGGACGGCAGCGCTCGGACCGCGGTGGCGGCGGCGGCGGCGGCGGCAACAGCGCCTCCCCCCCCCCTCCCCGCCTCCCCCCATCCCGCCCCGCTGCCCTTCCTCCCGCGCCCGCCCCGCACGGCACCCGCGCCCGGCCCGCCTCCGCCAGCCTCGCCCGCCGGCCGCGCAGGGGCAGAGCGAGCCGGCGCCGGCGAGGAATTAGGAGCGATCCGAGGAGGAGCGGGAAAAAAAAAAAGCCCCCCATCATCATCATCATCATCATAATAACCATAATAAAAGGAGAGCCGGCGCGTTAGAGAGCCTTTTTAATTTTTAATTTTTCCCCCTCCTTCTCCTCCTCCCTCGATTTAAATTTTTTTCTTTTTTTCTAAAAATTTTTTTTTCTTTTTTTTTTCCTCTTTTTTTTTTTTTTTTTTTTTTGGGTGAGCGCACTCGAAAATTAACATTCGCGGTGTCCTGCGCGGTGGGAGCACACGCAGCGGATCATCATCAGTCATTCACCACCTTGACAACCTCGCCTGTGATTGACAGCCGGAGTGGCAAAAAGCCATGAGACTTGGTAGTTGGGTTTGAGGGGCACTTTAAAAAAAAAAAAAAAAAAAAAAAAGAGAGAGAAAAAAAAAAACTGATTTGGGGAAAGGATATTTGCTTTCGCCCCGCTGCTGTCTTGGAAACGAGAGGGGGAGAGTAAGAGAGAGAGACAGGGAGAGAGGGAAGAAAGAAAGAAAAAAGAAGGAAGGAAGGAGGGAGAGTTGGTTTTTTTTTTTCTTCTAATTTTTTTTCTCCTTTTTTAATGCTGAGTTACCGTATCGCTTCGCTGAGATCCAGCAAGCCGAAGATTTTACTCGATTGCTTCCATTGCTGGAGACGCTAAGGGATTTTTGCCTTTTTTTGGGGGTGAGGGGGGGGGAACTTCGTGTTTCTTTCATTTCACACTGGCCTTAAAGAGGATATATTAGAAGTTGAAGTAGGAAGGGAGCAAGCAGGCCGATGGCGCAAAGGGTACGTATGATTAAAAAAAAATGGATTTCAAATGTGAAATAATATTGAAACGTGGCTGACAGAGACGCTGCGAAAAAAGTTTCTTTTTTTTTTTTTCTTTTTCTTTTTTTTTCCTCCTTTTTGGAGTAGGGGCACAAAGCGGTGTCCTGCAGCGGGAGGATTTATCAGTTGTACTTGTAGGCTTAAAACCTGTGTATATTGCTATTTTCTTGATTCTTTTACTCCTCATCCCGGAGCTCTCAGGGAAGAGGCGAGCTTTCTATACATTAATGACATGCAGGCATGTAAGTGAATATGTCCGAGCCTCTGTATTTGTTGGTTTTGTAGCTCTAGTCCTACCAATGTCTTTTTAAAAATCACCAGTGCTTGAAATATTTGAATGTGTGCATGTCTCTGAGCATTTTGCTGTGTTAGTGATGATATACCGCTTCACTTTCAGAAGATAAGTTCTGGCTGGGAGTAAGCACAACTTTTTTTTTTCTTCTTTTATCTGGTTTTTTACTCACCCCTTTTTTTTTTTTTTTAATATATTTTGTCCCAAAAGGTGCAGTGCAGTGGGCAAACTCCCCCCACTCTTTTAGAAAGAAAGTGACTTTAATTTGAATTGGAGGTTACCAGCATTCACTGCCATGTGTATTATTGTTTCTATTTTGGGTGCGATCCCCTCTTTTTTTTTTTTTTTTCTTTTCTTCTAACTACCTCCTAAATTGGAATTTAGAGAGAAAAAAAAAAAATCAGCTGTAGTCGGGTGATCAGGGATTTGGGGAAGGAGAAAAGCCCTGGAAAGACGTTTTCTTGCCTAATTTGCCTGCCGCCGTCCGAGAGCTGGTTGGGAAAGAAAGTTCTTCTGCTGACAACTTGCCTTTTACTCTTTCGGTCCAAGCAAGTGTCAGGGATCTTTAAAAGTGTTTATTCACACCTTCGCTTTTAATAGACGAAAAGTGGCCGTTTCCCCCGCTGCCTGGGAACCGCGGTAGCTTTCGGTCCTTAATCTTTAACAAAGAAAACCCTTAGGAAAAAAAAAAAAAAAAAAAAAGCATTCCCAAAATCCCGAGAGCCCGGGCGAACGTTTCCAGCTTTTCGGCTTTAAAAGTTGCGTTCGCGTGGAATTGCTGGAAATCCGCAAATCGCTCCTTCTCGTTTTTGGTTTTGTTTTGTTTTGTTTACCGCTGCTAAATTTTTTTTTTTTTTTTCTTTTTGCATCCTCGCTGGGGGGTGAGAAGTACCTGACTTCTTATCAGCGGGGAAAAAAAAAAAAAAAAAAAAAAGTTTAGCGGAGGGAAATTTGGATTCCGGGAACCGCTTCCATTCACGGCGTGGGTGGGTGGGGGGCTTGGCGGGGGGGGTGGGAAGTTTGGGGATGAGGATTGGGGTGGAGTTTTTTCACTTTTATTTATAATTATTATTATTGTTGTTGGTGGTGGTATTGGTGGTGGTGCTGTTGTTATTTCCAGCCTCGGAGGGCTTCGTGCCGGGGCGCCTTTCCCTCCCCAGGGCCGGCGCGGCGGAGCCCGGGCGCGCTCGGGGTTTTTTGGTGGGTGGTGAGGGGAGGATGGCGGCTCATCCCTCTTTAGGGGGAAACGGTGCAGCGGAGTTTCTGCTGCCCATTCCTCCCCCTGACGCCTCTCTCCGCTCTGTCTCTACCCCACAGTACGACGAGCTGCCCCACTACGGCGGCATGGAGGGGGTGGGCATCCCCACCACCATGTACGGGGACCCCCACGGCGCCCGCCCCATGCAGCCCGTGCACCACCTCAACCACGGGCCGCCGCTGCACTCGCACCAGTACCCGCACGCCGCCCACGCCAACGCCATGCCCCCCGCCATGGGCGCCTCGGTCAACGACGCCCTCAAGAGAGATAAAGATGCCATCTACGGGTAGGTGCCGCGCAGGGCTCCGCGCAGGCTGCGCGGGCCGCGCCGGGCCGGGCCGGGCCGGGCCGGGCAGCGCGGGAAGGGCCGCGCTCCTCCGTGTGTGCCGCTGCTGTTTTGGGGAGGCTGGAGGGGTTGGGGTACCCCCCTCCCTCCCCCGGCTAGGGGAATAAGGAGGAAAATAATATTCCCATGGCACAACCCGCGCCGGGCGGCGGGTCTGTGCGCGGAGTTTTGGAGCAGGGAGAGTTTGGAGAGCTTCGCTCAACTTTCCACTTTATTCCGTCTTTCCTTGCGCTGAGAGAGCTCAAGATCTGCTTCTCTCAGCTCTTTTTATTTTTAAATTTTCTTTTCATTTTATTTATTTTTTTTTTCCTCTCCAAATCCTTTATCCGACAGCACTGAATATTTGTCAGTGTGGCAACTTCCAAAAGCAGTTTCTAGGCCGTTGCGATGGGAGCTGACGGGGTTATTACGCTGGGCGCAGATGCTTTTAAAATGTATCTGCCCAGCTGGAGTTTGAAGAGAAGTTTAAGAGCCTTTAAAAATCACTCTCAGGACAGTGAGGAGAAGAGGGAGGAAAATAAAATTCACAGAGTTCGGCTTCTTTATCGGTTTATCAGTAGTCTGAAGGGTTGGTTAAAAGTCGGTGGTGTACGGTACCCAGAAGGAAAGGGAAAAAAAAAAAAAAAAAAAGCATGAAGCCCTGGGAGGAGGAAAAAAAAAAATTAACTCCCTGTTATAAATATACATATATATATACATGTGTGTGCGCCCACGCTTATTTATTTATTTAAATTATTAAAGAGGCGAGGGAAGCAGATGCACAGGCTGCCTTTCTCCCGGGGAGGCTGTCCAGGCTGGGCTTGCCCAGGAGCACCTGGCTTCCCCCGCGGGCCGGGGCTGCGAGCCCGGGGCACAGAGGGCTGGCCACGCCGCAGGGAGCCAGCCCGGCTTGGCCAGCGGGTCGGAGCTCTGTTGGGTGGCTTTAAGGGCTTTTTCTCCTATTTTTTATATTTTTTTTTTCCATTTGGATGAGGATTCTTTCTTTCCATGCTTTTCTGTTGGTTTGGGTTTGTTTATTTCTCCTTTCGCTCCCAGCAAGTCCTCCAGCAGAACAGCAGACAGCGGGGAATTAAAAGCATGAGAGGCAGAAGCGTATGCCCAGGGATTTTAATTTTTTAAATTTTTTTTTCCTAAAGACAAGGAAAGTTCATTCAATATGGCTGCTGGAACCGGCTTGGGTTTTATTCTTGGCTTGTCCTAAGGTTGAATTAACAATATCTGTGGCCAGACAGTGCCGAAAGGCTGGGGGATGCCCGGTTGGTTGTGGGGAAGGGGCTGGGAGGCGGAGGGGGGTACCGGAGCCCCCTCTGTGGGTACCCCCTTCCCTGTGCACGCTGCTGTGGGACTAACTATTGTTGTGTTTGGGGTTTTCTCTTTTTTTTTTTTTTTTTTTTTTGTTTCGTTATGATATTTTCCCCCCCTCTGTGTGTGTGACTATTGTATTTTCTTTCAGACACCCCCTGTTCCCTCTTTTAGCACTGATTTTTGAGAAATGTGAATTAGCTACATGCACACCCAGGGAGCCCGGGGTAGCGGGAGGCGATGTTTGCTCCTCTGAGTCTTTCAATGAAGACATAGCAGTGTTCGCCAAACAGGTCAGCAAAACCGGGTTGAAAACAGTAAAAGAAAAAAAAAAAAAATGGAAAAAAAATCGTATCGAGAAAAACAAATCTCTGTTGAGATAAAGATGCGCGTTTCCCCCTCCCCCCTCTCTTACTGAAAGTGGCGTAAAAACCAAAACAGAAAAATCCCCCAAAACCCCAACCAAAACAAAACACGAGAGAAAAAAAAAAAAAATCGGGAAATCTCGGCATTTACCACCCCCTTTAAAAAATGGATGGAGCGGAGCGGTCTGTGCCCGGCCGGGAGTTTGGCTGCGCGGATCCCGGGAGCCGGGACGGGCTCTGCCGGGGAAGCTCCATAGGTATTTTTCAGTGTATTTGATTCACTTGCTCAAGTGTTTGGCTGATGTACTAAATCCAGCAGTCAGGGCTTTGCACGGAAGGTTACATAATGGACCCGACAGTGTAATGAAGCAAGAAATAATAACGTCTGCTTTTTCTGCTCCCGTATTTCAAATCATTTTTATTATTATTTTTTCCCCCCTTTCTTACATTTAGATCCGAGCAGAGAAACCCCTCTTTTCCTCTAATCCTGAACTGGATAACTTGGTAAGAGTTAACACTTCTTCCTCTCCCCACCCCCACCCTCCCTTCTCTTCCCATTTATTTATTATTTTTTTTAAACTTCTGTGTCATCTGGAGAGGTGGTTTGATGGTGCTAAATTGAAAATTTCTCACGTGGATTTTTGAAAATTGTAATTGTTACAATGATTGCTTTTATATTTACAAGTAAATATGGTGTGGTAATTGCTTGGAAGTAAAAAATCCCATAAGGATATAGATAAAGGAAAACCCCATCCAAAGAGGAGCTGGCGGGCTTGATGGTGAGCTTGCCTGCCCAAGAGGAGCGTGGATTTATCTCCACTCTAACCAGCCCCTCCACGCACCTTTTAAGCAGCTCGATGGGAAACAGAGAGGATTACAATGGCTGGAGATACACCAGTGGCAAATTCACTGAAAATGAGGTCGTTTCTCTCTTTCTTTCCTTCCCCCGTTAAGGATAAATATTTTGCCTCCACTGTAGGAGTCCTGCTCCCGCTTTCACAAAGCGAGGAGCCAATGGTGGTGTTTAGAGGGTTTTTTTTTTTTTTTTAAGAAATGTTTATGATCCGTATAATTCAGTTGCTTCGTTGCAATTGGGATTTTTTTTTTTTTTTGTTAACTCTAGGTCGCTTCTCGTTAAACAGTGCACAAAGCCACCGCTATTAAGTTTTAGTGTTATTGCCATAAATCAAAACAACTTTTTATTTATTACTAGAGAAAAGTCAAGCTGCAAAGTGCGGCCGGGGTGGCTGTGGGAAGTATCCCCAAATCCAGGAATGAGATTAATGCTTATGTTGTTTGTGTCTTTGCAGATGATTCAAGCCATACAAGTATTAAGGTTTCATCTGTTGGAATTAGAGAAGGTAATTTTTGTCTCTCTCTCTCTCTCTCCCTTTCTCTCTACCTTCCCCCCCTCTCCTTTCTTCCTCCTCCGTTTCAGTACTGCTGAAGTTCAGGCTTCTGGTAAATTTGCATAAATGTCTTTCTTTCTGGTAATTAGTGTCAAGACCAATCTTGGCGTCCATTTCTCTTCGCAGTTTAATTACAATTTCAGCCTCTAAAACCGAGCTCTCGAACGCCCAGGCCTTGTGTTCATTGTAATACTTTGCTGGCTTTGTATAAATAGTTGCAGTTCTGTGGTGCCTCAGATGAGACTCGAAATGGTTAGTTCAGTCAAGCCCCCGAAATTGTGATTAAAAAAAAAAAAAATGTTGTTTTTTCTTGGTGATGGTGAAGAAGATACTTTGGTTGCAGTTAGTTGGAAGGGGGAATTTTTTTTTTTTTTTTAAGAGCCATCTGTAGGTCAGGCTCAGGGCGCGGATTGTCCTGTAACATTTTGCAGAGACAAAGCAGAGTTGATAGTTCTGTCTGTCTCCTGTTCCTGGGAATATTGTACACCTCTGAGCAGAAGAAAGAGATTGTGGCCTAAATGCGGGATTATTTTGTTGGCTGTTTGAGAAATCTTAGGAGGGAGAATGCTAATTTCTAAGCAGGCGGTGTCATCTGAGCTCACGTTAAATTGGAAGTGCGCTCTGGCTTTCCTGAGGATTTTTTACGTGTCATTGATAGCTGGCCTAGAAGAGAATTCCCTTTCTCCTAAAAATAAACATTTTGAGAGGTTTTTAAATAGTTGAAAAGTTTCTCCTGCGCCTCAGTCACTTTATCTAGCCATAACTGTCAGGTTGTTCTTGCTCTACCAAAATGTGTTAAAATCTGCCCATTAATAAAGCCGGCTCAGGTACAAGTCTATCAGAGCAACTGGGGATTTCAGGGCATGGATGCCTATAATGTATTTCAGCCCAGTGCATGTGGATTTTTTTTTTTTTTAAATCCTTTTTTCCATCCTTGTGGAAAGGGTTTATGATGAAATAACTGGATGAAATTAAATAGTTTACCTTAAATGTCACCCATGCAGGTCACCTCTCTAATGGCCACAGCTCCGGGAGCAGATGAATTTAACACGGGTGTTGAATATGTTGTAGCCTGTGAATCATCTTGTCACTGTCAATTTTCTGGGATATCTCTATTTTGCGAGAAAAGAAAGTTATTCCTAATTCTGGATGCGTCTAGAGGTCTCAGGGGCATAATTGCAGTGTGTTTCCCCTATTTAGGACTTTTGATGTCACAGGGGCGAAGGGGGGAGACTGGTTGCACTTGTCAATTTTACTTATGTATTCCTGATTATATTTTCTTCCCTTTTTTTCCCCCCCTCTCTCTTCTTTGTTTTTTCTTTTTTTCTTCATTCCTTCTTTCCTTTTTTTTTATTTTTTTTAACCTCTGTCGTAATGTAGGTACACGAATTATGTGACAATTTCTGCCACCGGTATATTAGCTGTTTGAAAGGAAAAATGCCTATCGATTTGGTCATAGACGATAGAGAGGGCGGATCAAAATCGGACAGTGAAGACATAACAAGATCAGCAAATCTAACGGATCAGGTATGATCTCGCCAACGTCGCACACGCTAAAAATTTGTATGCAGATCGCTTGCTGGGTCACTACGCCTCCTTTTATTATTTGCATATGATTAAGTCCCTTTTAGATAAATTTCCATCGAAATGAAAATTTTTGAATAATGTGGCTATTATTGCTTCATTAAGGCTTGCTCCCGGATTCGACCTGGCGAGATGAGCTTGTAAAAGCATCGCCTGCAAACTCGACCTGTTTCTTGTCGCTTTTAATTTTTGTCTTTATTTTATTTACCCTTTCCAATAATAGAAGCGGTATCTGTGAATCACTGGCTTCTTGGTAGCTTAGGGAAGGAAGGGCTGGAGTCGTTGACCAAAATAATAATAAAATCCGAGATAGGTGGTCCAGAGAAGACAGAGAGGGTTTGAAATCTAGCAAATACTGGCTATTTTCTTCCCGTCTCTACGGTTCATTAGTCCGTCTTGTCAGTTTTCCTTGGCCGAACGCTTTTAGACTTGAGTGAACATTGCTTTGTGCACGCCTGCCTGCTGCAAACGCGCCCATTTTATTTTACTTAATAGGAGAAAAAAAAATAAGGGGGAGAAAATAAAATGGGATTCAGGTTTTAAATTCTTTTCCTTGATCTTTTAAGTTTTCAAGCCCTCTCTTTAAAAAAATAAATATAGTCAAAGCCAAGGCAGCAAAGCCTCGCGTGGCTGTGACGGTTGTCCAGGTTTTGTTTGGGATGGTTCAGACCTTTAATGTCGGCTGCAGCGGGGTGGGAAATGCGGGTGAGCTGAGTGGGGAGAGCTGGCTGTCCCCTCTCCCATCCCACTGGGTGCAGACTGGGATCCTTGCCTTTTCCTGGGAGCACTTGGGGCTTGTGCAGGAGGTGCCCAGACGTAAATGAAGCTCCTGGCTGATGGTGGTGGCTGAGATTTGGCTTTTACTCGAGTTGGGTGAAACGGTGGGGTTTTCGCGGTGTGTTTGTTTGCTCTGAACCGAGGGGTAGCGGCGCTTTGCCTGTGAGAGGGGGGACCTCAAGCACACGCACAAAATATAAATCCCCGCTCAAAGCCCCCAAGTTATTTCTTCTTTTTGATCAGCTACGTAAATATAGTGCTAGGAGTGATCTGCTCCTGACTCTGGAGGTTTCCTTTTGTTCAAGCAAGGCGCAGCCAAGCAGACAGGAGTTTCCTCAGCTGCTTTGCTCAGCTGGGAGTTATTTTATAGATCACCGACATGAAGGTGCGTTGCATTGCAGTGTGGCCAGTATCTGAAATATTTTCTCCTGTCAGCCAAAGGCTATCGGTTTGTGATGGGGAGGCAGGCTTGAAGGAAGGCATGAACTTTTAGAAAGGGGTTTATGTGCACAGAGGTCGGTTGTTTTGAAGGGATTATTTTTCCCACCCAATTCTGCTGTACAGGGGAAAAGCTTGGCAGAGTGGGCGGAGGGTGGTGCGGCAGGGAGGTACCCGGGGCTGGTGAGGATGCTCCGGGAAACTGCCGGCCCCGCTCAGTGCCTTAGGGCGAGGGGAACCCTCCAGCCAGGGTCTAGCTGAGGGAAGCTCGGCTCGCTGATGTTGAATAAAAATTGTAATCCAACAAGTCTAACTAGAAAATGGGTTTCTAAAAGCTCTGGAGTGCTGGGTACATAAAGCTATTTGAGCAAATTACAAGAATTGCTCAGGGGCACGAATGAAATCAACACTTTAATTGCCTCCAAAATGAAGATTTATACCCCATTTTCCCAACGAATCATTATTTTATTAAAGTGAAAGCTAAAGAAACGGAGCTGCAGTTTTGGGGTTGTTGGGGGTCGCTGTGTTTCTCCAGCACCCCGCGGCCCCCCTTTTTGCGGGGACATTGCTCCGTGCCCTGTCCCGCTGTGCGCTCCGGGTTTGTGCGAGCGCTGCCCCGGCCCCGCTCCGCGCAGCTCCGCGCAGCTCCGCGCACCCCGTGTGCACCCGCGGAGCGGGGCTTTGCCTTCCTCCTTAAGGGAAAAGATGCAAAAATGCGCTTTTATCCCCCCTCCTCTTCCCGGGGCGATGAAGGCGGCGGATCAAACCCGCGGAGATGCTGCGGGGGTTGGTTGCGCGGGGGCGGTTTTACCGCGGGATGCGCAGCCCCCCGGTAAACTCCGGTGCCAAGCCCGGCCCCGGAGCGGCCGGCAGTATCGGAGCCCTAATGGTTCAATAATAAGGTGTTGAGTGCTGGTCGCCGGGGCGGCTAATTAGGATGTGACTGCGCGGGGCGCGTTTATGGCTGCGCGGCCCGGGGATGCGCGGGCGCGTAGGGCTCGGCGGTGGGAGCGAGGGGACCCCCGCCTGCCCACGGCTCTGCTTGGGAGAGTAGTAAAAGAGTAAGTATGTAAAAGCTTTTATTATGGATTTAATTACATTTTCTTATATTGTGGTAGTAAAGGTTACAGTTAACAGGGTGTTTTTTTGCTTTTAATTTATTGGTTTCCCCTTATTTATTCTTTCCCTAAAGGCCCCTCAAAGGCAGTGCCTTTAAGTCCCCCCGGTTAATAGAAAGCAATGACACTAATGCTAGATTTTGCAAAGTAAAGCCCTATAACACTAACCATTGTTCAGTGATTTAACCAGCTCAGTGGCACTAGGTCACTAAAATAGCATCCTTCTCCCACGGGCTCGACCCCGCTGCCTGCCAGGGTGAGACCTGCAGAGTTGCTGTTTACCGTCGCAGCTCCACAAGTACAAGGCAGGAGTCTGGGCTTTTTGCTGGGGAGAGTTGAACTCAAAATCATCCAGACCCCGGGACTTTAAAAAACCTAGCTGAGGAATGGCAGTCCTCCTCAAAAGTTTCAAAATAAACCTTTTTTAATCATTAGCTTTTCAAACATTTTGCGTGTTTAAATTTTCAGTGTTTGTCAGAGCCCAGAAAGATTTAGAACACAGCTGTTGTGTGATGTGTCTGGGAAAACTCCCTCTGATTTAAAAAAAAAAAAAAGCCCAAAGACTGCCTGTAGTCTGACAAGAGAAATTCGGTTTTGTAGGTAATCCTGAGCTGTTACCGTGGGGCTGCTTTTTTGAAGCCACATCACTTTGGCACCCAGGTGCTCTAGTCCAAACTGTAAAATTCTCCTACAAGAGCGTATCTACAAGCAAGCCTTTAGAAAGTCCTTTAAGGAAAACACGGTACAAAGTACCCACCACATCCAAGTAAAATGCATTAGCTGTGTAAAATAGATTTTATAGGGACAAACCAGTATTTTTCTTACTGAAAATAAACTTGTTGAGCCCATCCACAGTAGCGCTGCTTGATGAAAATTGCAATTTAATAGTGCACAAGCCAATTACAGACGCAGAAACTTTTAAAGGCAAATCGGCAAAGAACCAAATTCCTATAGAAACTATGAGGGGAAATGATCAAAAAATGAACATGAAATAAGACTTCCTGCAAGAAGGTCCATAATTCAACATTATTTGACTCCACTGTCAGGGAAATTGTTGAAGGATAGTAAACCGATACTGGAGTCTCAGTCATTTTTGTTACAGTCTTAAATGTTTGCAACTGTGACGTTTTAGATGGCCCTTCTTGGGTGATAATATATCACATATATACACACGTATATAATAAAGCAACACCTCTATTTATGTTGCAATAGATTTTATTTCAACGTGTGCAGTTGCGGAGTTGCTCTAGCAAAAATGCGGATAGACAGGAGCTTTTTTTTTTTTAAATGGAACAATTACTTAAAATATATTCTTTACAAAGAAAGAATCATAAGGAATCCAATATAAAGCGTAGCTGAAAGTGGTAGAGTTGTTCAGGGCATGGACTGGCCACGACTGGACTTAACTTTCCAAATTCTCAAATATATTAGCTATACCTTGTAGCCAATACAACAATAGTGCCTCAGGGAAAAAATTACTGAGAAATACTATTTTACTTTGGGACTTCTTCACAGGTACTTTCAAGCCATGTATGGTTTTAAAGAGGAGAGCTAAAAATATTGCTGCCTTTAGGATATGTGCTCCCATATTGGAGAAACAGGCATCGAAATAATAGATGTGGTGCAGAGGGTGCAAGGTAGAATTAATTTCTGCATCATAAAAGAGTTACAACAAAGTAGGACTCTGAGGACTACCGATAAAATAATGTTTAAAAGACTCAAAATTTAATTTTCTTCCTCTGACTTTGTCACTTTGAGTGAATCCTTTTTTTGTTTGTTTGTTTTTGAGTAATTTTGGTTAATTCTTGCTGTGATATTTAGAAGCTGTTACCATTCCCCAGTTTTGCAGTCTATTTTTGTGAAGATAGGATACGTTAATTTCTGTTCCAGACATGTTTTCATCTGATACACTGTGGCTGAAATTGTATTAGCAAAATAAGATTTTCTTTGCTCTCCATTTCTTTAAGTGAGTAAATACATTGTTGTGTAGGCATAAGATTGAACATATTTTCTTTAGTTTGTGATTTCAGTTCATGAATCTTTGGGGTTCTTTTTTATTTTTTAATCATTCAAGAACCCAAAAGAGCCATCCTTACAGCTGGGTGCCTTCCTGAAGTTGCATGCTCAGGCCTAATTTCCGTGTAAAGTTTTCCAAACTGAAGTTAGCTCTTGTTGTAAAGGATATTTTAATTCCCGGATTTTGGGGGGAATTCTTTTCAACATCAGACCTGACAGAGCTGAGTTTAAACCCCAGTTAACCTCAGAATTGATCCTAAACATTTGCGAGTATATCCCAAGGCATTCCTGTAAGCCAGAGCTCGCCGTGTCTGCATTAGAGACCGTAGATTGTTATTTTGGGGCAACTTGGAGTCTTGAAAGTTATGAAAAAATGAGTTTTACCTTAAGTTTAACCTTTATGGCTGAGGGTTTGAGTCTTTCCATGGCTGCTGGTCCACAGATAACAATAAAGGTAATGGGCTCTGCATGCAGAAGGGTTACTGCAGCCCCGCGTGGGCAATGTTAGACCTTAAAAAAAATCGGATTATATTGCTCTCAATCAAAATGAGTAAGTGTACATTGTGCTGATAAATACTACTTCAAAAAGCACTA